ATGACCTGAGCCGAAGGCAGATGCTTAACAACTGAGCCACCCAGGCGCCCTCAAAAGTTATCTTTTATTATTATTTTCTTAAGTAGGCTCCACACCCAGCATGGAGTCCAACATGGAGACTAACGCAGGGCTTGAACTCACGACCCTAAAATCAAGACCTGATTCAGCTCTGATCAAGAGTCAGACGCTCAACCAAAGGGGCCACCCAGGCGCCCTTCAAAAGCTATCTTTTAAAATGGGAAGCCAAAACGTCTATTTACAATACAAAGACTTCAAAAGGGAAATGCAGATTCTTAACTTAAAATTATTTCCCTTTCTTATTGGCTGTCAGGTCCTTGGAATGTAAAGAGAAATAAGGTACATGTAAGCACAGCAATTATCATACAACATAATAACTGCTATTACAAAGATATTTAAAACAAAAGTGGTAAGAGAACAGAGAGCAACTAATTTCCTGAGTCAGATACAGCTGCACTGAGGTAACACCTACTTTGCAAAATGATGGGAAGCCTTGGGGTAAGGGACAAACAAAATATCATCAAAGCACCTGGAATGTTTCAGATGTTGTCCAAAGATTAGTGATGGAAGAATGAACTAGATGGGCAATGCTCAAATTGTAAAGAGGCTTGTCTGAATTTAATTCTATAGCTAATATGATCAGTTTTGTTTTATTACAAGAAAATAGAAGATGAAGATAACAAACTGGATAAAAAATGGCTGATGGAACAAGAGAAAAATGGTTCGAGCCTGAACCAAGCCCTAACTAAAAATAACAAATTACAGACAATAGACATACGAAAAAATCAATAGAGGATTGACAGGAAGAAGGGTTCTGAATGAACAATCTAGTTAATCAATTTATTGTCTCCTAGCTCCTCTTCATCCTTTCTGTTAGCTCCATGAACAATGATCTGGGCTCTTTAAATATTTTTTCTTTGCCAGCTGGGACAATGTTAAGCTTTGTCAGTAAAGAGCACTGGAGACTCTGTAAGAGCAAAATGTTTTTGTTCCTGGTTCTGGTGTGCTCATTCAGCAGGCTCCTATCTGGAGCAACCATGGTTTCTCTAGCATCTGGCTGCCACTTGCGTAGCTTCTCCAAAACTCGGCCCCTACAGTCAACAGCGGCTAGCACTAGCAGCTTTTCAGTAAGAGACATTCCCGTGAACAGCTTTCCCTGCTACCAGGAATGGCAGATTTCCAGCAAGTGCAGCGAGCGTGACACCAGTGACTTAGCCACTCAGGGAGCCAAGGCCATAACCTCTTCCAATAAGGTCAAGACCTCAGCCCGCAGGTGAAGAACTCTTCCTGACATGCTCCATCTCGGTTCTAACTTACTAGCTTTGTGAAAAATCATTCATAATCTTAGAATCAATTTCCTCATTAGTAAAATGCCTATGAAACATGCCCTGCCTATTTCACAACAAGATGGTATGGATCAATGGAAAAGATCATGCCATGCTCTTGGTGTGCTGTGCATTTATCCTTGATCTACTTTTTGTTACGCACATTCTCCCAAGTCATGTTACCCATATTCACACATACCTATGTGTGTGTATATATATGCTGATATGTGTGTGTTCTAAGAGTATTAGCTACTCCTTAAATCTTCTAGTACTGTGTATTTTAGAGTTTACTTATTACTAGCCAATCCCTAGTTATCCCAATCCCCTAAAAAAATAGGGTTTTAAAAATATTAAACTAAAAAATTACACTAATTTTTAGCATTAAACTTTCACTGTTCAAATAACTATGTGGTTTCTCTCTCCTGGTTGGAGCCAGACTGATAAAGAGGGGCTAAATCCACTGTAAGTTCAAATATACTAGAAATGTGAGAATAGCCAAGTTTGGACATCTTAATTTTGAGGTCCCTGAAATTCTCTCCAGAGGGGTATTTTAACAAGGCACTAAATAAATGACTTCAAAGATTTAAAGTGAATTTAGGGTTGGAGATATCTTTGGGAGTTATCAGCATATATATACACACACATAGGTATGTGTGAATACGGGTAACATGACTTGGGAGAATGTGCGTAACAAAAATTAGATCAAGGATAAATGCACAGCACACCAAATATTTAAGGGGCTGGCAACAAAAAAAACAAGCCAGCAAAACAGAAAGAGAAAAACCATCATCAATGTAACATCACTCAATACATGGGAGTATTTTGAAAATAGTGAATGTTCAGCAAGACCAGATGCTAAGGAAATGTTTAAAAAGATGTGGCTTTTTAAAAAGGCCTGAATTTAGCGTGAAGGAATCAACGACTTTAGCAAAATAAGTCTGTAAAATGGTACAAAGTAATAGCCTAACTATGATGAGATGTAGTGTAAGAATAAAAGTTTAGCAAGTACAGTTACAAGTTCAGACTACTATTTCAAGAAGTCTGAAAACAAAAGGAAAATAAGTCAGTAGCTTTTGAAGGAAGTTGAAAGGAAGGTTTTTAAAATTACATTGTGGAATGGATGTTTGGATAAGTAAGACTTGATGAAAGCAAAGCCACCACACAGCAAAGGAGGTGAGAGTAAAGATGAGGTAGGATGCTTAAGGAGAGGGGCGCCTGGGTGGCTCAGCTGATTAAGCGTCTGCCTTTGGCTTGAGTCATGATCCCAGGCTTCTGGGATCGAGCCCCACATC